CTACATTGGCGACCGGGATTCGTGATTAGTAAACCGTATCTACTTCGATTACAATCAACCAATCGCCGTGTTTTATTCTTCGAGTCATACATCTTCTGCATGGCCAATGATTGATCGGTAAAGTAAGCCTGCGATCCGATGTCCAGAAACTGGAACGCGTAGCCACCTGACTGGCGTTATTACGGGTACTCCTGAGGGATAATGGATCACACTTTTGTTTGGCGGATATTTTTTCCCCTTTCTATTTCTATTTACTGATTTAATAATTATGCAGTACTCAGGCTGATGGACGCGGCCAATCAAAAGGCTATCATACCACAGAATCTGGATAGTCAGGCGGTGGTGGTTGGATTGGAACACACGTAGGAAGGTTTAGTTGGTTTGGTTGTCAATATTCGTGAATACCTCCACGTCATCCTTGCAAGATCGATGCGGCTAAAAAAACAGTGTAAAATGCCGTTGCATCCACGAATCCGAAAACAATATGGGAATCGGAGAAATTATTGGGCAGTTTCCAGCTGCAGTAAATGAATGCAATGCACATAACTGCTAACCAAGGCCCCACTCGACTGTTCAAATCACGTAGTTTACGATCCTTATTACCATTTGCGTACTCATGCGATGTGATTCACTTTGACGAAATGTCTTCTGGCTAGTATGTGGAATCGTTACGTGATAGCTTACACAGATCATGGTAAAGACCACCGACGGTACAGATGAGATGCCATACAGACCGAATCAGTTCAAACAATCTGCTGACACAAATATGAATTCGATTGACTAATGCAATGATGACTCATCATATGACCCTGATCTGCCAAGCACCAAAGTCAATAATCGCCATTCCAGTGCTTCAGATACGCCAACTGCAGAGAATACCCCAGAGCATTGCGATGACCATACAGGAGAGCAGGCCAGATAGGTGAAGCTTCTTTGAGAGAGGAAAGTTGTGTGGAGCCAATGCTCGGAGATAACTCTAGTCGGGCAGCCATACTGTTCGAAGAAGATCGATTAGAAGCCAATCATTTGGGCCAATCAAATTCATCACAGTTCATTCAGAAATACTAAGAGTAAAAGGACACGAGAACTGATTGATTACCGTCTACTCAGTTAACCATCTTGCGTTGTACATATTATTTCCACCAATAAACTGGTCACTACATCTGTGACCTTCGTTCAGTTTCTGGGCAATTGTTGACCTGCACATGTTCTCATCAAAAGTAGCGTCGTACTACGGCTTAGGAGAATACCTGTACCTCCTGAAGTGTTCATATTCTATTGTAACCCATATCTCAAAAAGCATTTTTTTTAACATTTCCCGCTTACTAACTCAATGAAAATAACGAAGTAAGCGACAGTGTGCGTACCATATGTTTTTTTATCATGGGCGGCTTATGTATGATGTATCGTACAGAGAACTTAAATGACACACTTGCCAAGTTGGGTGAGCCGCAAGTTTAAATGTAATGAGACATTAGCTTATCGAATGTTCCTTGTTTTGTTTTAAATTTTCATTTCTTCTCCATTATACATCACTAAAATAGGCTAAACGATGTGTAAGCAATCGCATACCGATTTTTTATGTGCTTTCAATCGTGTCGATCCTGAGGACTTGTCCATAGTGAGGCTTGAACTGGTTGGTGGCTCGACAGACAGTGCTCGCGATGAGGCTAGATTTCTGTCGTAGGTGCCCGATTCGGTCGGAACGAGTAATGTGGCGGGAAGACTGGAGTCCACCAGTTGGTCCGATTGCTTTACTGTCCCGTGCTGATTCATTTTGCTGTATGACAGAATTTTTGTCTTCGAACCGGAATCCTTCGGACTGTGGGTTGTGTTCTGCGGGAGTTCCATCACTGAGTTATAGTGTGTTTTGTTCGATATCACTGGTTCACTGAAGAGATCAGATTAGCGAAATAGATGATCAAATAAAAAAATAAATCCTAGATTGTATTTTTTAAAATTGTACTCTTCATAACGTACACACACATTGCTTCCGAGGAAACATTTTTGGTGGTTTCAATCTGAGGTCATCGTACTCACTTAGACAAGACAACAAACAGACGGGTGACATGGTGGGATCAATCGTAAAGGGGTAGGAGATGGATGAGGTTCTCTCCTCAAGTTCTAAAGTTGGGGGCACAAATGGGTTCCATAAGCGTTGGTAATTGAGTTACGTCAATGAGTAGGTACTGCTCTGCTTTATGCCGGATATTTGAGAGCCTGAACCAGTTATTTGTGTGTGTGTGCACAATTTTAGCTTTAACGAGAGCATGATAATCACTTCGGTCGTTGCTAGTGGTCCAATTTGAATAGCCCAGGCGTTTTGTGTTCGGAGGCCCGGTAACTGATGCTGAGGGTTGAATTTGTGTTCATCAGATTGGCAACAACCGACCTTGCACCCTTCGTGTCTATGCCCCATGGGGTGTGGATCCTGTTAGCGTTTAAACAAGTATATGTACAAATATATAGATCATTTCATCACGGCGAGGAAGAACCGCATTTCAGCAGAACAATATGAATTCAGTTATTTCGGGTACTCAAAATCAGCTACATCCGTACACTGGCAACCAAGGTTAAATAACGACAAAGACATGATAGGTTATCGGATAAATGAACACACTAATTGGGCTAAACAAAGCACAGGGGCAAAGGTCACACAGTCAACCACGTTGTAGCGATTCTCCAACCGACAGTTTCGCAAACGGCAGTTTTCTTTTCTTAACTCTCGTTTTTCTCTAAGTTTCCTGATAGATCCATTCAAGCTGGACGTGATCATCAAATCACGGACCAAAGGCATCTTCACCCTACGCTGGTGACTAGCATCAGGTCAGGTTCAGTTTCTAACCAGTCCTGTATAATTGAGGACTATCAGGACATGATTATATAACCATGGCATACTTATCAGAACCATCAAGGTTCAGATATCAAGTAGTGATTTAGCCTATCGATCAGGTAGACTAATTACCAAAGTTAGGCTACCGTTAATCTTTTCTTTCAAAGATAAGGGCCCTAATTATCTACCGGGCACAATCAAATGTACCGGCAAAATTTAGCACGTATCGCTAATATTTGGCGATATCGATCTTCTAGAGGAAGTTTCTTTACAAGATAAAGCAACTTGAACACTTAAAGAATTAGGTTTTTTTTAACTATTATCGTGCTTTTAATGAGCTCAAAAAGACCGCACCGATACAATTCCCCACGGTGAGCTCCGTATCGCAAGCTTTCCTTGCATTGATCTGCTTTCAGGTTTCCGCTGCGGTTGCTTAAATAACAGCCTAGCCAAACTTACTTCCAACATTTTGGAAGTTTCAGAATATCTCATTTATACAATCCCAATCCTTGGTTCTGTTTCTTCTTGGGACGGATATTCCGAACGAACGTGAGCAAACATTAGTGACAGGTTCTGACGAACATCAGCAACCGCCTAGTCAA